AGGAAAATACCACTTCACTCTGCTTCCTGAGGCTGCTGTTTGGAGCATATAATATTATCTACTTTTTTGTAAGCTCTTCAAAGAAGATTTCAGTAAGAACAGAATACAAGTTCCATGCACTGTTGTAGTTACGATAGTGGAGTTTGGCACTGATGCTACATTATCAAGAGATAAGGAAATATACTAATTATAGAAACACATTCTTTGGTTCTATCAAGCTGGGCTAGTGAAAGATGTCCCTGCCCATGGCAAGGGGTTGCACTAGATGATCTTTAAAGGCCCCTTCCAGCCCAAATCATTCTATTATTTTTAGCACAATACTGATTGTAATTTTTTAAAAGTGTGGTATTCTTAATTACTAGGACCTGGGCTTATTAAGTTGCTTTTCAGTAATCAGTGGTCCTTTTTGCAAAATAGAGGGTCTTCAACATCTGTAGAAAGCTTATGCTATCTCCTACTCAATTTAGCCAGCACTTTCATCTGAAGTATAGCATTCCACTTTAGTTTGTGACAGGTTAGTTATTCAAACAGTTGAAACCATGTTCCCAAGCTAATATTAATAAATTATCTTATTTTTCCAAATATTACTCACGAGTCTTTTATATGTTTAGTGTAATTATAGAAACATGTCTCTACAGCATTATTATTTTAAGCTCATAGATATTCTACAGTAATCCTAATGAATTAGTATGTCAGTGTTTGAGGCCATGGAATATGCTCTCTGCATCCTTACCCAAACTAAATGGCAGGGTTTATTAAAGGTAAACCAGTATGTTATAGTGTATATCCATTTGAATTCTTTTCTTTCTTCAGGTTAGTTGAAGGAGATGCTTACCACTTACTCAAGGATTTTTCACTCCTCATTAAGTCTATTGGGTATGATAAACTTTTGCTTTTTAATTTTTAAAATTTAATATTGTATATTTGATTAATAATTAATTTACCTTGAAAGCAACTTAAAATGAAACAGTGCTTTTTAAATTTTTTTTTAAACAGAACATCACTGAGTGAACTGTGTGATGATCCAAATGACAACGTTCTACTGGCATTTCAACAACTCGGTAAAATCTATGCAGAGAAACTGGAGTCTGTTAAATGAAGAAAAAAAAAAAAAAAGGCAGAAATACATAATACTCTTACCACACAGATCAGCAGCCTTCTAAGTTAGGAAGTGACTAGGTCTGAGTTACCAAATATGTTTCATAATAAAGCTTTAGTAATAGCCAATATTAGTAATACAAAGCTTACTTTAGAAAATCAGCCTTTAGACATGGACATTTTAGCAGCTCCAATATCAGCTAAATAATTTTCTAACAGATTACAAAACTAGGCAATTGCACTTTCTTTTTCCAGGCAGTGATATATATGTTAAGACAGCTCTCAGAAATATACTGAACAAATGTCACAGTTCCAACAGCTGGTGAGATTAGCCTCTCAGTAGGCAAGCATGGGAAACTTTCAGCCCATTTGTGAAGGATGTTCAGCAATTGCTTTGGCAATCATAATCAAATAAATTGGTCTAATTATTTTCCAAGGTTTCTATTAAGTTATGAAGTAGTACCTTCATGAACCATTATGAAACCTTTTAAACCGGTCTGTAATTTTAGTCTAAAAAATTTTAAATATAAAGAGGGTTTTGTATCAATACACTGAAGTTTGATTAATAAAATGTTCCAACTGTATGGAGAATTGCTTCATTTTTCACCTTTTGTATCCTTAGGAGTCAGAAAGATCCAGGACACCTCTAGCATACTTGTCAAAAAGTCCCTTGCAAGACAAATCACCGAGTTTAGTAAAATACATTTCCTAACTATTTTCTTGGGTTTTTTGCTGGAAAGAGCAAAGTTTTCAGCAGTATCTTCATACTATTCCTGAGAATTCTTCAGTTGAACACCACATTTAAGTCTGTTTTAAGTCTGAAAAAATATACACAGACATTACCAGAGTTTAGATAGGAAAATTAGGCTTTGACAACAGTCCTCATTGCCACACACAATCTTATAATGATGACCAAGATAGTGATGGAAGGTATTCTCTTGATAATAAACAAAATGTGCATTAAGGACAATTCAGAATGCCATTTCTTTGAATTAGCTCTGGTGTTCATCAAACAATCAGTGATGAAGTCTTTGACTTGAAGTCTCTTCAAGGCACCAATTAACCACATGTAACACGTTGCTAAGAGATACTGGGGGGAAAACCTGTACGTAGTCAGGTTGTGCTGCTGAGCTACTATCAACTGACTTAAACCTTTTTCTCCTTCCATTTTTTTAATGTGTGAAAGAAAATTATGACAGAAATGGAACATAGTGGTAGAAAAAACTGCTTTAACTCTGCTTCAACAATAAAATTTACTCAAATCATTCTTTACTGTCTGCAAGTCATGCCATATGTAGATATCTTGCATAACTGCTCCTCAACTAGGGTAGAATGACCTTATTTAGACCTTTCCATGTTCATGTTTCCTGATACAAATGGAGTAATCTTTTTAGCTGAGACACAATTAATTGACCAGGGAATAAAGTCAAAAATTGGTCCTATTGTGTTCTCAGTTATGTGATGAGTAAGCATGAAATCCTGGGTGAAAAACAAACTTATGAGGTCTATTACCAGGTACTAATTTTATATGCTGAAGACTGTAGCGTCTCTTAAAGTGCTCATAAAAGCAGTGAACATTGCACTTTTAATAATGTGTACAAAAAGGACCTCACTCCTGTTACAGCTTTTAGTAAGGAGTCAATAGTGAATGATGACCATGTGACTAAGTCAAAATGACCAAGGAATCAACTTGAGAAAATATCAGAAAAATCAATAATTCTACTGATTTACTATCTGGGTGGACTTAATTTTACTGTGACCTACTGCAAATAAAACATCGTGCTTAACATGTATCTCCTCTGTAAAACCTTAGTGCTGAACTATAATGCACTTAGACAACAACTTGTCATGCTTGAAAAGCCATCCTAGGAGTGTACTGAACCCACACACCAACAATTTCTGCTTTTAAAAAAAAGTGTATCATAGTCTGTTTATATTATGACTTTATAAAGGTGTCCTTTCACCAAAAGACATAGTATTTGCTTTAAAGTTTAACTTTATCAAACTGTTATGAAACACTGTGAGAGAAATGAATGGAAGATATGTCAAAACCAAACAACTTTAAGAAACTCAATAGGGTTTCTGAATAACCCAAGCTCATGAGGAATTTTTTTTACTCACTGTAGCAGAAAACAAGCATTTTCATTTCTCTCATTTTCATTACAGTGAGATCGACCTCCATCCATAACGCTTTCTGGCATTATCATCATGCTCAGCCTTCGTCTTCCAGCAATTTAACTTAATACCTTTTTAACACTTCTCCCCTACTTGTATAGAAGAACTGACAAGAATGTCTAGAGATAAAAGCAGAAAAATTCTTAGAGAACTGAAAAACAGTAAGACTTAAGAGATGAGAACACAAAGAACTATAAAACTAACAATAAAGAGATTTTTCACCGCCTTCCTTACGATGATGCAGATGCAAAGGGCAGATTAATAAGTTCTCTAAAGTCTAGAGTCTACTTTTCAGCACATTTAATAGATGAATGCACTGCCACAGAAAAACTGAGGCCAAGAATTTAACACAAATGAAATTAAAATTAGGTCAATGTTTCCTAAACCAATAATAGTATTTCTAAGTATTCTGTCACAGTAAGTATATTTGTAAGCCTTGCAGAGATTTAAATTTAAGTACTATTTCGCTTATGAAGTTACAAAGATAATTTGGATTAATTAAAAAAAAAAAAAGAAAAAAAGAAAAGATGACTACTATCTAGGTGCCAGTGAAGAATTCTGAAGGGATATCAAACATTCTGATCCAATACTTGCCAGTTTACATGTCCACCTAATGCAGGAATAATTTATTTAAAATCTGGCACCAGCTTTGTCTGCAGAGTGGACACTAAATGAAATAGTGCTTTAACTTGAAATAGTACTACCATCTGTGTATTCTAATAACTAAAGCACAATTATCTCTTAGATGCAACAAATAGTTAATAAACTAGAAAACATGGTATTTTTATCATCACTGTGTATCGTATTTCACAGACTAAGAATTCAATCAGTTCTGGATCATTAATACTTACAGTGAGAAGTGCTGTTTTCCTTTTTACCTGTCATTACACAAACTTTAAAAGGAATTTTTTGTGTCTGAAAAAGCTAGATTCTCCTAATGCTTTCACCAAACCAGCAAGTTATCTGTCCACTGATTCCCAAACTGGTACCAAAAGGAACTGAAAATTAATTGTGACGGTTACTTTTCATAAAGGCAGCATTTCAGAAGCGCAGCTGATAACCTTCTGCAACGTACAAGAACATTGACATGGTGTCTCAATTTCAAAAGCACAAGAGAAATTATTGAAACCACACTAGAAGCTGCACCTTCAATACATACCAAATACATCACAGAAAAAGAAAACAGCCAAAGGGAGGTGTGCAAACCAATTTTCAGTAACGCCCTTCCACATCCCCTGTTTTCCCCGTGGCTCTGCTCCCTCCCTCCCTCCGAGGTGAAGGCTTACTGTACTCTCATTACTGATTTAACCCTACTGCAACTGCTGCTGCACCGAAACAGCAATATACCGCTTCCTCTTGCTGAGGCTTCACTGAACCTGCTTTCTGGGACACCCCAGTCCCCCACCATCCGCGCATACCCCAGTGGCACTTCTTGGAAGGTCTGCCTTCTTAAAGATACAGCATACGTGGTCATACTTAAGTCTTTAACCGGACAAAACATTTTTGGTTGTTTCTTCAGTTTGGGTTTGTACTATAAAAATCGCTTTAGTACATTGTACTTGCTAATAAGCAGTTATGTTTCTAACACAGAGATACCTCAAATTGGCAAGAATCAGGGAGAACAGCAGCTGTAAAAACACAAGTATCCCCACTTATTTTAATGAGTTAAGTAGCATTTATTTCATTCCAGCTTATTGAAAGTATAGTTATCTTCCATTTCACTCTCTTCATGTCTCCGATTTTCTTGTACTAGACATTTTGTCTTCGGCAACAGAAAAATACTCTGATGCACTGCTGGTGTCAGTAGAGACGGATGTTTGGCTGAGCTCTTCAGTGTCAGAATCGCTGTCACTTGGCATTCCTCCTGCCTCATTTACCCTAAGCACAGAACCTCCTAAAGATGGATCACTGCGTGTGCCAGGAACAGAACAAGCTGCATCCTGAAACAGCACAGACTCGGGTGCATCTTCCCTCTGAGGACAGGAACAGTTGTTTTCAGCAACAGTTTCACTTTCTTCATCTTTTACCTTTGTTGCTTGTTTTGTTGCTGTAATAGTAAGCTGAGTGGAAGATGCATTCTCGTGTGTAACAGGAAGGACAAGTGAACATACAGGCTGACTGCAAGAAGAATTACTATCAGCAAGCATTTCTGCACTTCCAGTTTTCTTAGACGAGTTCATGGGAAGCAATAAGCCTTCACATTTTGGATGACTATGTCTAGAAGCAGGCTCTGCACATTCCAAAGACACGGGCTTCCCTAGATTTAGAGTCGTTTTGTCAGGAGATTTCATTGTCTCCGTTTTTTCAGTACCATTTCCAGACAAAAACATGGAGGAAGTCAGCAAATCAGAGGTATTTCTGACAATACTTCCAAATGAAAATACTGGTGAAGGCCACTGAGCACAGTTATTTTTGAAAGAAAATACACCACTAGTGGGGAGAAGGGGGGACTCAGAGACATCACTCACCCCATCTGCAGCATTGGTTTCTGAAGTACTGCAAGCCACAGTTGTGATGGATTCCAAGGCATTAGCTTTTTGTTCCTGTGAGACAGATGGCTTCTGGGTACCATATTCTGCAGTTTCCTTTGCACAAGGTGTTTGTTCTGTCGTGTGAGATGATGTATTTTTGTCAGATGGCTTCTCAGATTGGCTAAAAAGTGAGGATAATGGTAAACCCTTAAATGAATTGCTGACTCCCAATCCTGCAAAACAATTTCTTTCTGAATTGCCGAAGGGAAATGAAAAATCCAGCTTCTCTCTTTCTGCTGAGTCTGAATTGGGATTGGCTGAAGCATCAGAAACTGCGGTTTTGGTTACAGGACCATTTTTTCTAAATTTGCTTTCATCCTTATTATCGTTTTTATCCGCGTGATCACATTTTCCCAGATAGAACTGAGGGAAAATGTATTTCCTGTCTTTCTTTTTAAAGGAAAGTGTACCTGCATCTTTAATAAATCTGGGTAATGAGTTGTTACATGCACTGAAAGCAAAAGGTGAAGCAGAAAGTCTCTCTGTAGAAACATCTAGAAATTCTGAACTTGAAACAGTAACAGCTACTGATGCTGCTGGTTTTAAGCCAGATGAAGTGCTAGAATTTGTGTCCATTTCACTGGAAACAATAACCGCCGATGCCTGCATTGGCAATTTTTCTTTAACTGCTAAGTCTTTAGAGTTTTCTGATGAGGCTGGAGTGGTTACTTCTTGTGAACTTCTCTCATGAAGTAATTTTAAGTCACCGTTTGTTTCAGAAAAGTTCACATTTGTGGATGGGATGCCATGATTACTGGTTCCAGAAAAGCTTCTCTCAAAGCCATCTGTTCTTTGCAGGGTTCCCATTTTGACTTTATCTGTGTTATTTGCTTTGGTAGGTGAAGACAGAAAAGGAGTTCCTGAGGACCTGTCCTTCGAAGCCTCTGCAGTTACAAATTTATACTTTTTATTTGCAAGTAAAGTTTGTGTCTTCAACTCATTGCTGAGCTTCTGATGTTCCATATAGTATTTGTAACGTAACTCCTACAATTAAAGCAAAAAATCCCATTAAGTAAAATGGCATTGTGGATTCAGAAGTTATAAAACTCACATACAATCCTAAGACTGAAGAAAAGGTTTTGTATATTCCATAGCATTTATGATGTATTGCTGCTAGAAGGCAACAGAACACAAGTCATTATGGAAAAAGTTCTTTAAAAACAATTGAACAAGACACACAAGGAACTCTGAAGACAAAGTAGGTTTTCAAATAGGAGACTATAGAAAACTGTATTTAAAGTCACTGCCAAAACCAGAAATAGCTAAAAATACTAGCTTAGACGTTAAGGGGCAAATTCTCAAATTGTCATGAAAAATAACCAACTGAAACCAATTTAAGTGGTGGGTTGTTTGGGTGGTTTTTTTTTGTTTTTTTTTTTTTTTTTTTTTAAACTAGATATAATAACTATAGAACGCACATTCTCAATGGGAATAGAAACTAGACGTTCTCCAAAATAATACAATAAAAGAAAAATAATTCTGTATTTAAAGGACCTAAGCAACTTTTTCATTCAGTCATCTGCCACTGGTATTCTCAGGACATACATTATGTGATTCACTGCCAGCCATGCTTCACTAACTGTAACTAGAATAATTCTGTACAGAACCATACTCAGCCACCCACACTGAACTGCTATTAAGTGAAAAAAAATCTAGTTGTATAGTTGGAAATGAAACAAAAAAAGACTGGACTCAGTTTCATGTCAAATTATCAGGAATTTAGGTATTCTTAGAAGACAATTCTGTTATCTTCAGAAAACAGAATACAGATGACTTCCTCTTCAAACAAGCTTATTTGGGTTAGAAAGCTACAGATTTGACTCAAAAAGTCACACTAAAACTTAAAAATAAGTATCTGAAGTTAGTAGTAAGATTAAGTTCCAGCTTTCTGAAGAAAAAAGAAAAAAGTAAAATCCTGAAAGCTTTAATAACCTAGTCAGATTTACATTCTAGAATTTGAAGGATACATTTCTGTTAAGAAAACTGAAAAAAAAGATTATACAAGCTCTTTAGAAAGTTGCATCACAACAAACAGTAACTTAGCCATACTTACAACAGATGCTCAATCATACCTCATGACTCATGTTTTGAAATGCTGACATTTCAGATATTGACATTAAGCGAGTACAGATCCTGCTACCGTCTGTTAGTGCTTCCTCCTGTCCTGATACAGGCTGAAAAATGTTTTGTAGCAGACATTATAGTTCATTTTGATAAGACAAAAATAAACAAAATAGCACAGTGCTGTAGCCCCATAGTCAATAACTTACAAGAAACGTGTTGGGTATATTCTTCTGGTCCTGCCATGGCTTTACGTTATTTTTAAGTAGAGTATTTTTTGTTGAGTTCTCGTTTCCTCCAGAAGGTAGATCTATTAGAAAGAATATAACAACACTGATGGCGAGCATATTAAGTATGGAAAATACTGAACGGTTCCTGTGCATCTAAACAGAGGTTCCGATTAAGAACAGAAGTATATTCCCCTAAGTGAGATCCTAGTACTTGTCAAAATTTCTGCGATATAAAGCAAGAGGCTTGCATAAGAAGTTTTCCAAATGCCTGGAGATGCTTGCCCCGATACAAAACATAACATTTTCTCATATGAGGTAAAAGCATTTAATCAGAACATAGTTGACATTCATATTGCACTACAACAAATGCCCATTTAGTGCAGCAACACACTTCCTAACCCTAACCTGATACTGGTTGTATAGGAAAATTCTAATGATACTTCCCCCAGCTTCCAAATACAGAGACTTTGTAGAGAAAGCACATTCACAAAATGCATTTAAAAGCCCTTGATGAATTTACCATCCATCAATTTGCTCAGTTGCTTTCTGATCAGTGGCATACTTTTGCAATGCAGATTATTAGCAATTAGTTCCATAAGTTGCAGGTTCCTAGAGTGACTTCCCGAGTCTTGTCCTATAATTCCCCTCTTCCCTACCTTTAACAATGCCTACACTAACGGGCATTAACTTCAAAGCCAAGATTTCATTAACCACAGGTTTGATATCCATCTTCTTTTGGGTATACTCTGGTGGTTTTTCATAGCTGGACGCTATATTCATCAGGTCAAGCTGAGTTTTCATTCTGGAAAAGGAAAAAAAAAACCCAAACTTCAACACTTTTCTTAAGGCTCACATGCCAACAACTAAACTACACCTGCCTGATACAAAAAAAAAAAAATTAAAAAGAAATCACTAAGAGGAAGAAGAAATCAAAAAAAAGTCTTCAATAAAATTTCAAGTTTCCCAGATTTTAAAACTTACTACTTAATGATTCACTTGAATTAGGTTTCATACACAATGAAAGTTGCAAGAAGTAGTGCCTGTAGTTCAGCAAAAAGATTAAAAATCCCCCGCTTTTCTTCATGTGCTACACCTGAATCTAAATTATACTCTTTCTTCAGAGGGCATTGCTAATGTTAGTTTGACTCACAACATACTTCAAAGAACTCCATTTCCAATATTCTTTCTTAAACTCTGATTAAAAAGTGATAAGAAATGTAATTAAAAATCTTTAGAAAGAAATATACAGGGTATGTGCCCTGCAAACACAAAAATGAAGACACTGTGGAATCTCCATACACGGTCTTAGACTTAAAGATGTCTGTAAAAGCTCCAGGCACGCTTCAGTGTTCCTGAGTTTGAGCAAGATATCTAAAAATATCCCATCACCATGTATTAATGAATACCTATACGCAGTTTTTGTCAGGGAGCCAATTCAAAAGACTGATTATCTCTAATCTCATCACTAAAATTCTTGACATATTTCCTAAATCTTAGAATATGGAGCATCCAAAAATCGGAAAGTATTACAGTGTCTTAATTACTAAATACTATTTTTATCTTAAGTCACCGTACCTGACCATATCCAAAGTAACTATTTTCTTAGCTTTTAATTTTAAAATTACACTACAGAACTAACAAAGCATAAAAAAAAAAAAATACCTTGTATTCAAGCCACAGGCCACCTATAAATAAAACAAGAATTCGTAAGATATGAATGAGTTTTCTTCCAACTCTTAACAGGAGATTATTGCTTTATCAAAATAATTGAGACTGAACTCCCTGTCTTCATTTCCCAGAACTATAGGAAATAAACCTGTTAACATTAAAAAAAAAGGAAAAAAAAAAAAGAGCAGCCAAATGTAAAGAAAAAAAAAAAGGATGTCTGCAACAACGACGTATCTTGTAATATTTTGTGTTAGAGACAAAAAGAGCTGCCTCGGAGCAAAATGAAGGCATTCAAATCATGAATCATGATCCATATGGTTATATAATCCATTTCAGATGTTCAAATATTTGTAAACATTCAAACCAAAGACTATTTTGTATTTTTTGGTAAGAGAAGCCTCTGCTACCTGCTCTCAAGATGCTATTACACTGAGATTAAAAAAAAAATAAATAAAATATGTCTTTTAGTTTTAAAAATCAGTCAGATAATGGCAGTATGAAGTGCACTGCAGTGTAGTAAAGTGTCACTTCCCAAAGAACATGTAATGGAAAGTAAAAAACCTGACTGGATTATAGACTAGCTGCTTCCCTATAAAAACCCGGTGATCTCACTGTACTGAATCTTAAAACACCACCACTCCCCCAGCCCCCCACCTCACTGAAATGATGTAGTGTTATGGGGGGCAGGCGGGAAGGTCCTAAGTTTAAGGCATACTAATCACTGCAATCAGAATGTTTCTTCCAAAAGCGGGAGTTGCTTTTACTGTGGGTAACGAGTTGTTACCAGAAATTTAGTCAACTTTCCTAGCTTCTTGTTTATCTGAAGGCAGCAAAAAGACCCATTCCCGAAAACAGCAATATGCTGTGTTTTCTTAGGAAAGCGTAAGCCTTGAAGTTAAAGAAAACACAAAATTCAGTAGTTATTTAAGTACTTTGCCCCATATCTACCACCTGCCTAAATTCCATACAACTGCAGCCACAGTGTTTGACATAAATGAGATGAAACACGGTGAAGATTAAGCTTGTGTCTTGAATTCCTCTAGCATTTACCTCTAAATCAGAAACATTGTTTTTCCTCTGCAGTTCTCTTAAACGCTACGAGGAAGACTTTCAGGGTCTTGTATGAAGAAGCGTATATACTATGTAGTACAGTGTATATCAGAAGTACCCAAGCTAGCTTTGAAAAGGCTGATTTACCTCTATTGCACACCTCAGTGCAAAGTTTACAGCAGGTTTCAGAATCAGTGCTATCACCTTAGCTCGGGTATCCCAGTATGTTACTCCATGGTGCAGCACAAGCAAATTATCGGTTTGGGCTCCAATCTTTCCCCAAAAAGCATTTTTAATGTCTTACAAATTAAAAATGCAATGGAAGTGCTTAATACACAAAGCATTTGAAAATAAACATGAAAAAGCAAATAAATGTGAGTCAATTTTGAAGGCAGTAAATATCTCCCTACCTAGCATCAAGGCAGTTTATTTTCACAGCTGGAAGCACAATATATCAAGTGTTACAGCAACAGCTGTACAGTCAATATTAATTTTACCAATTTTCAGTGAAGAAAATAAGCATCTACTGAATTCACTAAATATCACTGATAAGCTGCAAAGAACACTTTTCAAACTTTTCTAAAATGAAAAGCACTAGTATAAAAAAGTGTATGAAGTGTTAAATAATTTTAGTGTGTATTTTTTGTTTGTTGAATTTGTTTTTCCTAGTCCAGTCATTATCGTAATCATAATCTACAATACAGCAGGCTCTACATGACAGTTGAGGTTCATTATACAACTGATATCAAACAATAACAGAAAGGCCATCACCTCCAGGAAACGCTGAGGATCACGCTCATGGACAAGCTTTTCACAGTCCTTCAAAAAATTCTCAATGGTCTTCTTGTGAGTTTCCTTCATTTTTTTCCAAATCTGAAATTCTTTCTCTTTTTTACTTCTTTGATTTTCAACATCTTCTAGCAATTGCCGTTTCTTCATTTCCAGAGTTTTGAAAATTTCTCCAAATTCCAATGCAATTATCTCTGCATCATTGTTCAGCGCCATCTAGAAGCACAAGAACATAAAAACAGATGAAAATGCAGTAGCCATGTCTACATGGAGTCACTTCCCTAACTAAGCTCAGAGCACACCTATATCACAAGAAGCACCAGTACCCTCCATGTTGTGATTAACCTATGATAAGAGAAACAAAGACACATATGTGTATATATATATATAAAAATGACACCCAGCATCTGTAACTCACATCCGTATCATTTGGTTGACTTAAGATTTCATTCATCAGCTTCTCATTTATTATTCTCATTTTTTTCAGACTGCTGAAGAAGGTTAACTGCAAGACAATTGAAATACTTATTACAACTTTATCCACTTCATAAAATAAATACACTTCAGTGGTTATCTAGAATCACATCATGGGATGTTCTGTACAACATATTAAACAAAGGTTGTGATTGAAAACACCACTTAGTAACATTTAATGCTTTCCTGGATCAGGATGCAAACTTTCTTCTGCTATTTCTCTCTCTCAAAGTAATGTTTTTCGGCTCACCTACAATGCATATTGCTAGAATGGCTACAGGATTACTTTACAGTTAAACCATTGTTTCCCCCCCCACATCTATCACATCATAAGCTTTAATGCTGTTATTCTAGTTTGACAAGCAACTGTGTGACATTTTTTTTTTAATGCCTCAGACTGATAAAACAGAAAGCTGTCGAAAACTGAGTTAATTCTGTTTGGTTTTAAACTAAGATTATCACTGTTTTTTCCTCCTTTACCTCACTACAGTATCACTAAGTTTTACATACAGTCTAGCGCAAAGACTGTTTTTCCCTGCTTTCCTGAGTGACATGCAATAGGTGATGGGTGAGGCAGGAGGGAAATCAGTGCAAAAGCAACTTTTGGCTTTAAGAACAGTCAGTGCTGTACTTAAACTTTCATACCTATACTCTTAATCACTGCCCTGCAGTTGTTTCAGTTACTGCAGAGCAGACCTACTGCAGGACATGCCACCCCACACACAATTTGCACAGGGCACAAAAAGCTCATTCTACCCAGATGGTAGCTGTTTTGGCAAAAGTCACAACTACTACCACTACTACCAGCCAATCAACCATTAGGCCAGGCAGTTGCTTTCTTCATCCAAACAGGAATGCATTTTGGTTTTGCATTTATTAAGTTATTATGTACCTAAACCATCTATTTCTAGACATGTAATTATCCATGACCCAATTACATATGCCAGCTCAGAGAGCCTATAAACAAGGTATCTGTGAGTGGGGTTTTTTTTTGTGTTAGTAGGACTAGCATCTTCCTGAACTTGGAAACACTGAAATTAGACATGCAACAAACTCTTAGCATCACTGTGCTTTCCCAGCAAAGACTGCCAGACTCTATATTAAAAACAAACATCCACACCCTCCCCACACTACCCCAACTCTTCAGGTGATTTGGTAAGTGGGGTACAGATCTGTTGATACTGTAATAATGGCCCGGTCCCCTGTATGTGGTGGACGAAGCCTGAGGGCAGCGGGGGAAGGCACACTCCGGGACTCCACAAACAAATCCCGACTCCTGGCTCCGGGCAGCGCGCTCCCTCGCTGCCCCTCGCCTGCCCACCACACTGCGGTTTTCCCTGCGTTTCTGAGGAAAAGCAACCCTGTGGGACAGCCCGACCTCCCGGCCGGACCCCTGGGGCGGAGGGGAAGCGCCGCGCTCACTTTTTCCTCCTGGTACACGGTGTCTATGAGGTTGACGGAGTGGAAGATGCCTTGGTGCTCCTCGGAGACGCACTGTCCGCAGCCCGCCTGGCGGCACATCCGGCAGTAGAGCTGCACCAGCCGGCTCGGGTGCTTCTGGCAGGGTCCCCCCCGCGGCCGACGGGGGGG